TCGAACCAATATTGAGCATTGATGTTAGCTATTTGAAAATGTAGATAAAGTGAGAGTCACTTTGGATCAAGTTAGAAATTATGTGAAATAGTACAGGAACTGTGTTTTTTTTACTATTGATATCTATATCTATGCCACAACACGACCAAAAGAGAGTCCATTGAAATGTAACCGAATTATATCCAAAATGTATAGAATAGTTCAACTTTGGACTCTCTTCTTCTGTGTTTTTTTATGAGGCTTTTTAGTCGCGAACTCCTAGGAAATTCATAAACGATTGTTGTTATATTCCTTGGACATTCATGTAACTTTCAAATATTTTTCTATTAATAAAAGAAGTAGTGTTAAACTAAAATAAAGTACACATTGAGATTGAATTCATGCACTCATGACTTTATCCCAAATTTTCAGTAAGTATTACTTGTCACGATCAGAGGGTGACCGCTCACTTCGGTACATGACATTTCGTCCCGTTCAATTCGCCCCACACGATTCGTCCCAATTACACTTCGTCCCATTACATTTCGTCCCCTTACATTTCGTCCCAATTACATTTTGTCCTAATTACATTTCGTCCCCTTACAATTCATCCCAAGTTCATTTTGTCCCCTTACATTTCGTTCCAATTACAATTCGTCTCATATCTTTGCTAAGATCAACTTTTAGTTATTTTAATTAGATGTCGTGTAAATACTTATCGTCGCGTCTATTAATCATCGCGATAATAAACAACCAATGAACAATGAATATATTCCTTTTTTTCTATTCTACATATTTATCGAGATTAATTTTCTATTTGTCATTCAACCACGTGCGCTCGTAGTTATTGGCATTTTGTACAAATTTGTACAAATAGTATAAACAAAAATATGAATACTATTGAGGTATGAAAGAGTTCTCGAGGAAATTCAATGGTATATTTTTCAGAATATTTGTACACTCAACATCGAATAACAGAAGAAAAACGTATATTTCGTTGCGAAGATCCAAATTGTAGAAGTAAGTGTAAATCGTTAAATCTAATCTTTTAACTTTGCTTGATATTATTTTTTGGTCGTTGTCAAACGAATATTCAGATGGAAGTATTACTCAAAGAACCATCTGAACATTCTCATGTACCTGATCCAGATCGACTGCACCTCATTCGACTTAAAAATGAAATTAAAAGTCGTGGTGCATCATCAGATGAAGGAGCTAGTACGATACTATTTGATGTATTACGGACAATTCCATTAACTATAAATACTGATTTACCTACAAATGACGCATTGTTGCAAACGATTCGATTTAACGACCAGCAATGCAACTTGATCATAATGGTCGTTTACCTTTAATATTACGACAAACTGATCGAGGAGAAAGTTTTATTCTATATGAAGATGATTCTATGGTAATATTCACATGTGATAAGGACTTATCAGTTTTAAAGCAGTTAAATTTATTAAAATAAACTTTATCTCATATTGCTATACTGAGAATGAATAGTTACAATATGGGACGAAATGTAAGGAGACAAAATAAAATTGTGACGAATTGTAAGGGGGCAAATTGAAAAGGGACGAAATGTAATTGGGACAAAATGTAATAGGGACGAAATGTAAGGGGACGAAATCTAATGGGACGAAATGTAATTGGGACGAATTGAATGGGACGAAAAGTAACGGGATGAAAAGTAGGGGACGAAGTGTAGGGGTACCGATCAGAGATGAGTGATCAAGAGTTCGAAGATACGTATATTAGCACTAAAATTTATAAGAAAAAAGGAAAGAAAAAATATTTCCGAAATTATTTAGTTTTTCCCCCATTCTTTCAGCACATTTTAGTATTATTTTATGTAGGTTCTATTGCTTTTATCATTCGTTCGTCTAATGATTCCGCATAATGTTCCTCAATACTCTGAGATGGAGGAATGTGTACATAAATGAAAGCTAAAAATATATTCCGTTCTGGTTTCTCTTATTATTTTTGGATTATTTTCAGCAGTTCTGTCGATAGATTTCATGTTTCATTGTCACTTTCTTCTTATCGATTTTCATCGCAACTATTCTTCTTCATACTATTTAGTCTCATTATATTCAGAACTTTTTTCTAATTATTCATCAGTATTGTCTCTAAACTAATAATAGATATAAATTATAAAATAGACTGCTTGCAAAGCCTCAGACAAAGAAACATAATACACCGAATATACAGTGAAACAAAAAGATACAATAGCCCAAATCATTTCTGACAGGCCACGCGAAGTAGGCGTAATTAACGCAAACGTACAATGACATAAGAAAATAAAAAAACTACGATTTACAACATAGATATGACACAGAAATAATGAATTATTATTGCATCACTGTGATTTACATAAAGCACAACAAGGAATTAGTAAAATATGTTTCCATGTTTTTTTTTAGAATTATAAAGGGTGTTCCGGAAGTTCTGAAACGATTTTAAAATTTATCGTTCTCGCATTCAACAAATGCAAACTTTTTGAAACTTTGACATATTATTGCACATATGTAGAGGCACATAACTACAAAGTTTGAGATCTATCGGTTCTACTGTAGAGGAGAACCTGTAGCAACACTGTGATGTACTATTTTTAACATTTTCCTGTATTCCCGGTCTACCAAAATATCTATATTTCGGCTTACGTAGATGATAAAATCTTGAATTTTTTTTTAAAAGATGAGCCGTAAAAAGCTCTACAAAAATTGTAATAACAAATCCCTATTGACTTGTGTTAATGGTTTCTGCCATACTCAAAATGAAAAACCTACATGATGGTACTACTTCTCACCATATTGTGCGTAATAAAAAATGTTTGAAGGAACTTTTTGTTTTGCATGTATCTCAGCTTGAAAAAATGGTAAAATCTTGATTTCTTTTTCAAAAGATGCACCGTCGAAAGCTCTACAAAAGCTATATAAACAAATTCCTATTGGAAAGCAGAAAGGTCTTCCAAACCTTTTTTTATTACGCATAATATGGTGAGAAGTAGTACTACCATGCAGGTTTTTCATTTTGAGTATGGCAGAAACCATTAACACAAAGTCAATAGGGATTTGTTATTGCACTTTTTGTAGAGCTTTTCACGACGCATCTTTTAAAGAAAAATTCAAGATTTTATCATTTACCTAAGCCAAGATATAGACGAAATAAAAAAATGTTGCACACCTCGAAGATGACCAGGAAAATTTAAAAAATAGTACATGTCAGTGTTGTTACAGTTTCTCATCCATAGTACAACCTATAGATCTCAAACATTGTAGTTATGTAGTACTATATATGTACAACAATCTACCAAAGTTTCAACAAATTTGCTTTTGCAGAATGCGAGAACGATGAATTTTAAAATCGTTTCAGAACTTCCGAAGCACTCCTTATATCGATACGTACTCAATAGTCATCAGTTCGATGACTCCTCGAATTTGCCACGAACCATTAGTTCTTATATTGTTTTTCCGCGTATAAAACCTCAAACTATTCAAATAAATACATTCTCGATTTATTCACGAAATAATTGATTAATACTGTGTTAGAAGAGTAAAACATTGCTTTATTCGAACTTTTGTGACGAAAACTTTTATAACCTCCTCATGAAATTTTTCAATGGGGAATATACCAAAAGATGCGCCGTGGAAAGGGCTACAACATATCAAAAATTCAGCCTGGGATCTCTTACTTTGATATGATATTCACCCATAACACGGAAACCTGACGACTGAAATTGTAACTTGTTTTTTTCAAACTTTATTCTATTCTCAAGAAAAATTACATTCAAAAGATAATAGAAATAGACTTTTTTGTAGAGAATTTCAGTCTCTATCATTTGAGATGTTTCGCGCCTCAAACCGCCAAACGATGGAAGAGAAATTTGTAAAATACGATCAGGATTAAAAAAAACTCGATTTTTAGCATATGGTCCGAGAAGTCGAAAAAATGGGGGTACCTGCTATTTTCTTATAGACAAGTCAAAATGAGTTGATATTTTGGTTTTCCGAGTAACTTTTTATGGGCTTTCAAATGAGAATATCAAAGTCAAAATCTAAATTTTTTCGGCAGCCA